AGGTAATGTATTTTTAACCATATATACATAACCAATAAAATACTATAATCAACCAAACCATAGAACTTTAATAACTTAAACTGATTTAAAAAATGTATTTGATGTTAGACTAATATTTTCGTGTGATAATTCTTACAGCTCTTTTCTGTAAAACAAAAATTAGATTTGTAATTATTTTACATGCTGGCCTGGTCCACAAAAACCCCATTTGTTGGTCAGGTTTGGGGCTAAGGTATGAATTAAGTTTAGATTAGGATTATGTAACTAKAGGCGTTTTTACGTTGTAAAACACACGTTGGTCCGCCCCAGCACAAGATGGCCCAGCTTTACTCAACTCYGGCCCGAGTTGTGTTTGGATTGAGCAGAGAGCCGCCTTGATGTGGTCGGTATCATAAMATTAAACAGGTGCAATCTTATTTATTTTAGTTGTGACTAAACAATAATGGACTACTCCAAACTCAAGGAAAAATGCCAAATTTTGAAACAGACCAAACAGCAGTAAGATGCTTAAAACGAGTGTGTAGAACGACAAAGACCGTTAAGCTAATGTTAGCTTTTTTGTAGCTTGTTGTTTGGTAGCTTGTTACTGTTGTTCAGTTAAACTTGTGTGACAAAAATGTTACAGTTGCAAACGATTCACGTAAAGTTATTCTCATCTGCAGTGGCGAGCCGTGCATTTTACACCTAGGCCTTCAGTTGGGGTAGAACAGACCTGCCGGACAAGTGTTGCCAACTCCTGAGCAAGAAAAGTCCCTATTGGCTGTTCTAAAGGTCGCTAGATGATGCCATCACTTAATTTACACAGTTGGATGTTTGCCAATAATTGTGATCTGAGCTATAGAAGAGATGATGAATAGAAAAAAAGTGAATTAAAAACACTGAATATGTTTAGAACTGCAATTAAACTTAATGAAATAAAAATTATTTTATGACTTCAATGCTTAGACCACATTACATAAATTAAATTAGTGATAATCTTAAATTTAATCTGCAGACTGTTAGATATCAGGAGGCACAGGGAGGACGAGGTGAAGCAGTGACTGATCTGTGAGTCAAACACAGCTGGGTCCAGACATTTATTTTAGACAGACAGTATCCGAGAGAAAACATTAAAGTAAATATTACATCCTGCTTTGTAAACAACACAGAAGCAGTGGCAGCTTCACACATGCGTGATTCATTTGCAGCGGTCTCTCAGCTGACTTCAGCGGAGGGTGGGGGTAGGGGTTGGGGGTGCTGCACGAGGCCTCAGTGAGTCGGACTGCTTTAGGAAGGGGGAGGAACTCACCTCCGCGCTCGCTGCTTGCGAAGGAACAGAGGAGGAAAGTAAAAAAGTGCTTGGAAAATGCTGTCGCCAAAGCTCCTAAAAGTCTCTAAAACCACCGGAGTTAGATTTGTCGGACAAATCTAGCAACTTTTTTCCCCCAAAAAACGCTGCTGACTGCGGAGTCCTCAGCGGCAGAAAGAGCAGGGAGGGAGAGGCTGCCAGCTCTGAATTTAATAAGTTTATAATAAAAAAATCTATAAGGTCAGTGTATCTTTTGGTCATTGGATTTTCATTTTTGAAACGGGTATTAAAAAACAAGAAACGAGTGAATATTTGATTTTTGCTTTAAAATACTGGAATTAAAATTAAAATACAAAGCCATTCTCATTCTTATGGTGCGTTCACACCAAATGCGATTTCAGCGTCAGGAGCCTCAGGTTTACCTACAAAGTCTATGGTGGACGCGCTTCAATCAGCGTCGGGAAGTGCTGCGGTGCCTCAAGCGCGATTAGAGCAGCGCGATTTGAACGATTTGAACGATCTGAGCGTTC